GGGGTGCTACGTCTGGGGGTGCTGAGCCTAGGGGTGCTACGCCTGGGGGTGCTGAGCCTGGAGGTGCTCCGCCTGGAGGTTCTCCGAGTGCTTCGTCTCGCCGGGAGCCACTTTCTCCACAGGAGCTGCGTGAGTGGTTTGCCCGGCGCTGGAGGCGTGCTGCTGGTGCTGGAGGTCCTTCGGCTGCTGAGGGTGCTGCGGTCGCGGGTCCCGGAGGTGCTCGTCCTGGGTGCACTGGAGCTGGTGCTGCTGAGGGTGCTGGCGCTGAGACTACCGCTGGCAGTCCTACTGGGGGTGCTCCTGGTGCTGCTGGAGGTTCTGGAGCTACTGGTGGTGCTGCTGGAGCGGGTGCTCCTGCTGAGGGTTCTGGTGCTGTCCCTGCTGCTTCTAGCGTCGCCGCGCGGCCTCGACCGTACTTCGTTCCACTCCTGCAGCAGGTTCTTGGTCTTCCACCTTCTACTGGTCCTCCTCCTCCCTTAGAGTGTCCAGAGCCTGTCTCGTCCCAGCTACAGTTGCAGCCTACCTCCCCTTTGCCTGCTCCTTCTCCCTACACTGGTCCTACTGGAGGTCTGGCTGAGCGTCGTGAGCCTGCGTCTCGCCCTGCGTCGCCTGTCCGTGCTGCTCGCACTAGTGGTCGCGGTTCGCGTCAGCGTCCTCCTCCTGTCCCTGGCACGCACCGGATGTCTCTGCGTCCGTCCACTGCTCCTCTGCGTGCCCCTTTGCCTTCTCCTCCTGAGTCCTCTCTTCCTGCTCTTGCCGACCCGGAGTCGGACTCTCTTCGTGCTGCCAGTCCTACTGTCACGCGTCTCCTTGCTACTGTTGTCACTGACCCTTCTTTCGAGTCTACTGCTGCGTCTGCTCTCGTTACTGAGCTCGTCGACTTTGCTGCTCGCTGTCGCTTAGACTACGCTGCTAGTCTTGTCGCTGAGTCTGAGTCTGTCTGTCCTCCGTCCGTCGGGGGTGAGTGTGCCCTTGGCACGGACGTCCTTGAGGACAGGCAGGAGGAGTTCCAGTGTCTGGCAGCTGCCTCACCTCATCTCGTGTCCGTACTGCTTACCCCTGAGGGAGACCCGGATGCACTTGACATCCCGACTCCGCGCTCTTACACGGAGGCGATAGAGGGTCCCTACTCCTCTCAGTGGCAGGCAGCTATGGATGCAGAGATGGCTTCCTGGAAGTCCACAGGCACCTACGTTGACGCTGTCCCCCCTCCTGGGGCGAACATCGTCAGTGGCATGTGGATCTTCAGGGTGAAGCGGCCGCCGGGTTCTCCGCCTGTCTTCAAGGCGCGTTACGTGGCTCGTGGCTTCAGTCAGCGGCAGGGAGTTGACTACTTTCAGACCTTCTCCCCCACCCCGAAGATGACCACTCTTCGGGTACTGCTGCACGTTGCTGCTCACCGTGACTACGAGCTGCACTCTCTTGACTTCAGCACAGCTTTCTTGCAGGGCAGCCTACACGAGGAGATCTGGCTGCGTCGCCCACCTGGCTTCACTGGGTCTTTCCCTTCTGGTACCCAGTGGAGTCTCCGGCGTCCAGTCTACGGTCTCCGCCAGGCGCCACGTGAGTGGCACGACACACTGAGGACTACACTTGCGGCTCTTGGGTTTGCTCCTTCTACTGCCGACCCGTCGCTGTTTCTACGCACCGACACCTCTCTGCCGCCGTTCTACATCCTCGTGTACGTCGACGACTTGGTCTTTGCCACAGCTGACACTGCTGGACTCGCCTACGTGAAGTCCGAGCTGCAGAAGAGACACACGTGCACAGACCTGGGTGAACTGCGCAGCTACCTTGGCTTGCAGATCACCCGGGACAGAGCACGCCGCACCATTACCCTGACTCAGTCACACATGGTGCAGCAGGTCCTTCAGCGCTTCGGCTTCACGTACTCCTCGCCTCAGGCCACTCCTCTGTCTACTCGCCACTCGCTCTCAGCTCTGCCTTCGGATGAGTCCGTAGAGTCGAGTGGCCCGTACCCAGAGCTTGTTGGCTGCCTCATGTACCTGATGACCTGCACACGACCTGACCTTGCATACCCTCTTAGCATTCTTGCACGCTATGTTGCTCCTGGGAGACACAGACCAGAGCACATGGCTGCAGCGAAGAGGGTGTTGCGCTACTTGTGCAGTACGTCGGGCATGGGGCTAGTGCTTGGAGGGCGGAGTCCAGTGGTCCTCACTGGGCACGCGGACGCTTCTTGGGCTGACGACCAGGCTACGCAGCGATCGTCACAGGGTTACACCTTCAGCCTTGGTTCCGGCTCTGTTTCGTGGCGGGCTACTCGCTCGTCTTCTGTTCTTGGCTCGAGTTGTGAGGCTGAGATCTACGCCGGGGCCATGGCTGCACAGGAGCTTCGCTGGCTCACCTACCTGCTGACCGACCTTGGAGAGCCGCCTCGTTCTCCTCCAGTCCTGTACGTAGACAACAAGGCCATGCTGGCCTTGTGTCGAGAGCAGCGACTGGAGCACAGAACAAAGCACATTGCTCTCCGCTACTTCCTTGCTCGTGAGCTACAGCAACGTGGTCAGTTGCGGCTTGCGTACGTGGCCTCTGAGGCCAACACTGCTGATGTCTTCACCAAGGCACTTCCGCCTTGTGATCATGAGCGCTTCTGCACTCAGCTGGGTCTTGTGCCCGTCTTGCCTCACTTGCTCTCCTCTTGACCTTGCCTGTACTCTCACATATATATATACCTGCTCTTGCTTGTCTAGCTTTATATATATATGTGTGTACTCTTGCATGTGAACTGGCCGTGTGGCCTTGACCCTGTGCTCGGACTGTGTGGTGACTTTGTGATCCACCCTGAGCTTGCTTTGCTTTACTTTGCTTGACTGGTCTTGTGACCCCTTGTTCTACCCCACTTTGCCTATGGGGGTGTGTCAGAACATTATAGCTTATGCTGTTGTGTAGGCTATAGTGGGGTATTCCATAGGGGGTACAACCAATTAGGGTTTCATATTTGTACTCACTTCATTTCATAGTTCATTCATTCTTGTTCAAATCTTCTCAAGGGTTGCACCAACACTACTCTCACACTCGTGGTGGGCTAAATGACCATCGTGTTTGAGCTAGGATTCATCCCCACCCTGTGCCTCAACTCATTGGCCCCAATCTCCAGTTCTTCTTGCTAACCACCTCCCTAGTTCCTGCTCGTCAGGCTCCCCCAGAACCCTGCCATGGTGGAGCAGGACGATCCTGCCACAGCGATGACGATTGTGATGCCCCGGCCTGCTTGAACAGGCTTAGAATAATACGAAAGCGGCACTCGGGAAAGCGGCACGCTCCACGCCTGTTAATAGTACAACCCCGAAATAACCTGCACCTTCAGTTTCAGACTCTCATGTCAAAGAGACAGCCCAAGAACCTACTGTTGGTTCTGCCTCGCACCATTCCATCGAAGACTTCTACGAGGATGCAGTTGAGAAATACAGGGCTTACTGGTCCTCTCGTTTTCCCTGGCTTGTTTTAACTAAAACTCTCACGGGTTTGCATACGTTTAAGTGCAGTGCTTGTTCTGCCCATGCTGGCGATGCAGGCAAGTGCGGGAGGTGCGGGAAAGGTGCCACTGACGTGCGGACCCACTCCTTCCATACTCACGCCGGCACACAGAAGCACAAGCTGTCGATGGCGAAGATGAGGAGATGGTGATGGATTCAATGAGTAGGATTATAGGAGAGGAGAGGAGGATAGTACGCATGCCCTTTGTTTGGATTGGATTGGATGTATGGTGTCTTAACTATTGTGGTTTAACGAAGGACAACAGCCCACTCACTAGAACGCAATCAGACTTCTTATTGAATCAAACGCTGAGTGATCATACTTTTTTTTAAACAGACTCTGAAATTTCATCCTTTTTTTGTACTATCTCACGAATCAGATAGCCCAAAAACGAATATGAGGGCATGGACACCGACTTCGCTTCCTCCTGGCATAGTTCCGGCTGCTGGACGCCCGGACGCCAACGGTCCTTCGTGTGAACAACAAATCGGTCATTACGGTCGCCGAGGGCTTGGGGCTGCAGGGCAACCTCAAGCACATGGAGCAGCGGTATGCATGGTTGCAGCACATGGTGAAGCGCGGGGAGTTCACGTTGAAGTATATCCCAACCACCGAGCGCTGGCCAACTTCCTGACGAAGGCGTTGCACTACCCAACCTTTAACCGGTGCTCCATCGCAATCGGCCAAGTGCGCCTGGCCGACGTTGGCGACTATGACGACGACGTGCAGCAGTATGTACCATGCCTTTCTGCATGGCTGGTGCAATGACGACGTGTTGTGTTTTGTGTGCACGCCGACGAGCTCTTCTCTGAGTGGTATTGCCGTGTGGAGTGGAGGCCCAAGCCTGAACGCAGCAGGGGGGTGTCAATGGGAGTCGGTTGTTGGCCCCGTCCTCGCTTGGGCGGAGCCGACTTCGTGGTCGGGTGTACGGGAGGTGCAGCCGAACAGCAGCAGTGGGCGACGACAACTTTGCACGGTAGTAGCGGATGCGATACAGCTGCACCTTCGGGAATGCTAAAGTTAATTCCCGCTTACTCCAGCACAAGCTAGCTAGTGCGATGCTGGCATCGGGGTTCGAGCTAGTCCCAAAGTGTAGGCTGATTCGGCCAGTCCAGCCGTGTGAGGCTGGGCAAAAGTGTCGCACGAAGGCGGCTAAACGTAGCTCGAGTATACAATTGTCATTCGGGTTTTGGATTTAGGGAGTGTGCCTCACGGTTTCACTACAAAGTTTCAAATTCCTGAGGATTTTGCACCCCTCCATTCAAATGTATATTGAAGCTTAGTACGCATACAAGATTACCGTTTAAACGAGCGAAGAACGGTCATCTTGTACGCGGTGCTGAGGTGCTACTGAGTAAGAAATGTGCCGATAATTTGTCTTACATTTTTGGGTTTTGAATTGAAACGGACGAAGAGAAGCTGTGCCTGTCCTCTTGCCAGCATCGCCCAACAGCGCCTTGCGGCAGGCCCTTGAGCTGTCATCGGCACGGCGTGCCGTGATGGCGACGGCGCACATCCCGCTCAACCAGCACCCCGATGTCGTCAGGTACCCTCGCCCGCTGCCGCTCTCATACCGTTATCAGGTATCCTCGCTTCTCTATGCCTTTCTTCTGCTTCGCCCTCTGCTTGTTTCTCGCGCATCGCGCCTCTCCCAGTCCCAGCATTAGCTTGTCTCAGCGTTGTCTTCTCGCCGCTCGCCCTCTCCCCGCAGGTGGCTGCCCGCGCTCTCCCCGCTGCAGGCGGATCGCCCGCTCGCCCTCGCCGCGTGGGACTACCGCACGTGCTCCGCGCACCTGCACGCGCTCCTCCTCTCCCCGCCGCAATCCCCCGCCTCGCCCCCCGCCGCCTCGCCCCCTCTGCCCACGCTCGCGCCCCTGGGCGCGTGGCAGCTGCCGGCGCGCGCGTCCCGCCTGTCCGTGTGCGCGCTGCCCGACGGGCGGTCGCTGCTGCTGCTGGGGTCGCGCGGCGGGCATGTTAGCGCGCTGCTGCTCGACGGATGGGACGTGCTGGGCGCCGAGGGGGCGCTCGCGGAGGCGCTGCAGCAGGGGGAGACGGGTGAGGGGCGCGGGGGCGACGAGCGCATGAAGGGAGTGGATGGGGGAAATGGGGCGGGCAAAGCGCGTGCTGGGAGTGATGAGGGGAAGAGGAGGGCGGGGACAGGGCTGCTGGTGGGTGGGGGCGTGGACGGGGTGGGAGGCAAGGGGGAAAAGGCGGGCGGGGACAGAGGCATAGCGCTGATCACAGCCGCACCAAGGGGAGCGGGGGGACAGGGCGGGCAGGGGCACGAGGGACGCGTGACAGCAGTGGACTTCCGCGCGGACAATGCTCGCTGCCTCTCCGCGGGCGCGGACGGGCGCCTGCAGGCCATGGCGCTGGTGGCGGGGCAGTGGGTGGCGGACTCACTGCTGGCGGACGCAGGGGGCGCACAGGGGGGGGGCGCGGGGGCTGTGGCGGTGACGGCGGGCAGGTGGCGCGCGGCGGCGGAGGCAGTGACAGGCAGCATGGGGGGCGCCGTGCAGCTGTGGGACGTGCGGGCGGGGCCTGCTCATGCACCCGCTGCCACGTGCAGCATTGCGTGGTGAGTGCTGCTGCCGTTGCTGCCATGCCCTGCCTCATGCATGTGCGCGCGTGGGTATGCAGCATGCATATGTATGTATAGTGCATCCCTCTGCCGCGTGCGCCTGCTATGTCGTTGCTTGCTCTGTGCTTATTCCCCCCACCGTGCGTGCTGAGCGCCCTCGCGCCCTGCAGGTCACGGGCAGCACCGTGTGCAGTGGGGGGCATCAACGACATTGCCATCCATCCGTCACGCAATCACCTCGCCCTGGTATGGCCTAGCACTGCTGTGGTACGTGCTGCTGTGGGAAGCGTACCAGGTAACAGGCAATACGTTCTCCTGGCCCGACCACCTGAGCCACCACATGCATGCCTCTTGCACCCAACGTCCCTGCCACACTGTTTGTCTCAGCACCTGCACCCACGCACAACCCACTCGTGCTCGCCCCACCCGCCTGCCATCTACACTTCCACGTGCCTCGCGCTCTCACCACTGCCTTGTCTCCTCTCCCCAAACCACCACCCACCCCCCCACCCTCTTCCCCTTGCCCCTCTCGGCGCGCGTGCCACGGTACCAGGCAGCGGGGTGGCAGGGCGCGGTGGTGGCGTGGGACCTGCGCCACCTGCACCACCCGCTCATGCTCTTCGGCTCCTCCGCTGCTCTGCCCGCCTCTCCCTCACCCGGTGCGCGCGGGGCGGAGTGGGCGCAGGGGGACGTGTGGGAGGTGCAGTTTGACCCGCTCACACACCTCTCGCTGCTCTCCTCCGCGCGCCCCGCTGCTGCCACCACCTCAGGCGCTGCTGCCGTGCCGCCCATGCTGGCTTGCTGCGATGACGGCCTTCTCTCCCTGCTGCATGCAGGTGAGCACGGGGGGGATGCGCCTTGGGTGCATGCATGGGTGCAGCATCACCGCCACGGCTGCACTGTCACCACCGCACCACTTCCTCCACGCCCGTGTTCTCTTCCCACACTGTTGCTCCCACCACCAGCCTCATCGCAGGGGTAGAGCTGCAGCGAGCGCTTCCTCCCTGTGCTTGTGTGTGCATGCGAGCGCATGCGTGTGCATGTGTGCGTGTGCGTGTGTGTGCGTGTGCATGTGTGCATGTGTGCACGTGCATGTGCATGTGTGCGTGTGTGTGTGCGTGTGCATGTGTGCACGTGCATGTGCATGTGTGAGTGTGCATGTGCGTGCATGGCCATGCCCCCCCCTTCAGGAGGAGCGGTGCAGGACATCATGCACGCGCCACACGCCATCAACTCCTTCGATGTCGAACCCTCTTTCGGTCAGGTGTGTTGCATCGCCCTGTGTCACCCTGCACCACCGTGTGTCACCCTGCACCACCGTGTGTCACCCTGCACCACCGTGTGTCGCCCTTTACCAGCGCCTTGTGCTGCTCTTTGCATGCACTCCGACCTACCAGCTTTTATGCTTGTTCCTGCAC